CATGCGCGCGCGCCGTCGTCGTCGTCGTCGTCGTCGTCGTCGTCGTCGTCGTCGTCGTCGTCGTCGTCGTCGTCGTCGTCGTCGTCGACGCCGTCGTCGGCGTCAGGTACTCGCTAGGAAGCTTCGCTGGGTACTTGCAGCCACGGTCTGGTGAGTTTTGCTGACCAAGTTGCGGGTGGGAGGGTGGGATGTTTGCTCGAGCAATGGAGAAGACAACTTCAAGTTCAGCAAATTAGTTGCACCACGTAGATTGCGCCGCATAGACTGCATTGCATAAGATGCTCCGCGTAGATAGCACCACTTAGATTGCACCACATATATTGCGCCGCATAGACTGCATTACATAGATTCTCCTCTCTAAAGGAGTAATAGATTATACCCCCCCCGGACTTATCGCTTCCCCCGCGCGTGCTGCAAATCACATATAATTCTGACTACATGTCCATCCTAAATATGAATTCGTACCATCCCAGCCAAGCCGGTATCCCCCCCCCTGCGGTTCCCTGTCAAATAACACTATGCGGGGACATGTTTCTTTCTAACATAACAGTTTTTTTCACGAATCCCTGTCAAATAATACCATGCGGGACACATTCGCGCGCGCAAGACGAAATCCTTCCAAAACCTTAGTGTTCGTAGCGATTTTAACATAAAAACATCAAAACCCAATGCTTTTTCAAAAACAAATCAAACATTCACCCCGCGCGCTCTTGCGGATTCCTAGGAAACCCACTACTTTTTCAACATTTCTGTCAAAAGGGCTCTTGCGAGCAACTTTTTCCTGCGCTTCGAACTTCTTCAACAACGGCTGCGCGCCTGCCAGGGGCATAATCCTTGTCAAATAATGCCATGCGGGACACATTCGTTTTTTCTTCGCGCGCGCGCGCCGAAATCTTCAAAAACCATAGGGTTTCTTGAGCATTTCAGCACTGCGTATCATAAAAACACACGAATCGCACCGTAGGTCCTCGAAACAAACCTGCACGGATTTTCAAAATGTTGCCCGCTCGCGCTGTCCGAACCTTAAACAACCAATGTTTTTTTCAACATTTCGGTCGCACGAGCTCGTGCGAGCTACTTTCGCGCGCTCCTTCAACGACGTTCGCGCGCCTGCCAGGGCCACTGTCCGTGTCAAATAATACCGTGCGGGACACATGCGCGCGCGCCGTCGTCGTCGTCGTCGTCGTCGTCGTCGTCGTCGTCGTCGTCGTCGTCGTCGTCGTCGTCGTCGTCGTCGTCGTCGTCGTCGTCTTCCCTCCTCCCTCGTCGTTGTCGTCGTCGGCGTCGCCGTCCTTCCTCCTTCGTCGTCGTTCGCGTCGTCGCCGTCCTCCCTCCTCCCTCGTCGTTGTCGTCGTTGTCGTCGTTGTCGCCGTTGTCGTCCTTCCTTCTCCTTCATCGTCGTCCTCGTTGGCGTCGTCGTCGTCGTCTTCGTCGTCGTCGGCGTAGGCGTCGTTGTCGTCGTCGAAGTCGTCGGAACCGTCGTCCTAGTCGTTGTCGTCGGTGTCGGCGTAGTCGGTCTTAAGAGGTTTTGCAAACCAAGTTGCGGGTGGGTGGGTGGGATGTTTGCGCGAGCAAAGGAGATGACGACTTCAAGTTCAGCAGAGTGGGTTGCACCGCGTAGACTGCACCTAGGGGACCAGGACCCCTCGCTCTCGAATCTGCCGGGGCTTCCCGCGTGCCCCCTGGGGTTTGTCGCGCATCCCCTGGGCCCCAGGAAAGAAGTGGCGCGTGAATTTTCCGGTCCCGAGAGGGCCCCGACACGGACCAAGAGGGCGTCGAGAGGCCCCCAAAAACAATCCACGAGAACCTCGAGTCGCCGAAAGATCGGCCCCAAACGCGCAAGATGGCTCCCCGACGGGCCGAGAGGCCTGCGCCGCGCCCCAGAAGGCCTCCAAGAGACCTCCCAAGAGGGCCCCAAGAGGCCAATCTCACTGATTGTCCTTAGGTTTTTGAAATATTTTCGTGGTCTCACCTTTTCGCCGCCCCGGCGCCCCCAGACGGCCCAGGAGGCCCCCAATGCCGCCCCAAGACTGCCCGAGAGGCCTCCAAGAGGGCCCTAAAACGGCCTGAGCCCCAAGACGGCCCAAGTGGCGCCCAAAACGGCCCAAAAGGGGCACAAGACAGGGCGCGCGAACCGAATAGCCTGATTAGCCGCCCGCCCCCCCGCCCCAGGAGGCCTGCAGGAGGCTCCAAGAGACGCCCAGGCCCCTCAAGAGGCCCTCAAGAGGCCCCAAGAGGCCCCCAAGAGTCCCAAGAAGCCCAAGAGAGGCCCGAAAAAGCCCCACAGCGGACTCCAAGAGGCGTCCAAACTGCCTCCAAGAGGCCACCGAGATGCCCCCCACGAGACCCCTACGAACATCCAGTAGGCTTCATACCCACAACCGGGGCACGGTAGCCGGATGGGCCGAAGGCCATTCAATACGCGGCCACTGGCCGAGCCTGCGCGCACCAGGCCCGCTCGCTCCTTGCCAGGGCTGGATTCGGAGTCTACTACGGGCTTGACCACCAGCTAAACCACCCAGCTCGGGTGCGCAGCTTGGCGTAGTCCGCGCAAGGCGCTGAGATCCTCGCCCTGCTCCAACTGGAGGCTACTGCTGAACGGCTGTCCACATCTTCGTGGTTGACCAAACCGTGCCGTCGTCGACGGAATGGAGGCATTCCTCGCAGGAAAGCCATCACATGCCACGAGAGCTCAGGCCGACCGCTGGGAACAACTACCACTGCGTGCTGCAAGCCAACCCCGACAAGTTGAAGGTACAGGAGGTCCAGAGTCTCTCGGCGAACAAGGCATACAGAAAGACCAAATAACGCAGATCGCAGAGGTGTTTAGACGCCACGCTGAGAAACACGCCACAGAGCCAGAGCACGTTTGCATACCCTGCAGCAGAAGTTCAACGACGGAACTTAATGGCGACACACATTCGCGGCGGTGTTCCACAGCACCGCTGTCGCGATCTATGACCGTCGCTACCACACGTTGCCCTTGCCAGGCAAGCGTGCGTGTTTCTCTAAGACTGACCTCAACAAAACGAAGCCAAACCCGCTCATCATAGAACAAGGCAGTGACGAGCAACCAGGCCAGCCCGGCGACCCCTCGCAAACGCAAGGCCCACACGGGCCTGACTTGTTCGACGACCTCGACGACCCATGGGAAGCAGCCCCATCCGACGACTCCGAGGGAGATGGCAAAGACCCACTGGGATCAGGTGGGGCCTTGAACAGCGATGACAAAACCACTGCTACTTCCCCAGGAAGTCACGAAAAGACAGTCACGACGCCGACGAGCACGGCGCCTCAAGGGGCGGAAATCCACCGACCCCCCGCCTTCGCGGCCACACCGCTTTGCCACCAAGTCGATCACCATGGCACGGGAGCTGGCGACCGCCCTACCACCCAAGAGGGAGCACTGGTGGAACACCAGTGCAGCAAACGGATCGCGGACCCGTCCTCGCGCAGCACCTTATTGCTGCCAAGCAACAACCAACTCGGGAACGTGAAACGGTTGCCATCGCTAGCAGCACGGCGCTGCAACAGAGCGCAACTAACCTTACGCAGACCACTCGTACCATCCAGGAACACAGTAACCCGCTGCCGAACATATTCCAACGAGCTCACTCCGTCTGGAACGACCTGCGACAGGCATTCAGTCCGACAGAATTTCTCGAGGTCACCCTCCAAGGACGCCTCCAGGCGCACCTCGATGCTCACCGCTAGCACACCAGTGCTATGCTTTGCTCGTTCGGGTGCGCAGCGAGTACAACTGGCAACTATGCCGCGGCCTTTGGTGCGGGGGATGCCCTAAGGCGGCGCCACGGTTCACTGAGGTACTGAGGTGCGCATGCCAAAACGCATTTCAGCTGGCGCCTTCTGCTCAAGTGTGCAAACGGGGCGTACCGCGCCCTTATCGCAAGAGACATGTGTTTCTTTCCAGTCGGGGACCCCTACAGTCCACACAGAGGGGGATGGTGTGTTTCTCGACCCCTGTTTGTTGTGCGGCACCTCCCGCCAGAGTGACAGTTGTGCGCACTCTCTGTCTCTCCTGTTTCTTGTTGTTTCTCTCTTTCTCTCGCTGTCACTCGTTCTCTCTCTCTCTCTCTCTCGCTCTACCTCTCTCTCTCTCTCTCTCTCTCTCTCCGTCTTCCTCTCTCGCTCTCTCCCTCTCTCTCTCTCTTTCGCTCTCTCTCTCTCTCTCTCCCTCCCTGAAGTGTTTCCCCCAAGGGTTTCCACATCGGCTGGGGAACGCATAGGCAAATAGCGTGGCCTGACTTCGGCTCAACGATTAGCCACATTGAAGCTTCCATAAGAGAGGGGGCGGCGATGACTCGCCGCAAGTGCCTTCGACAGAAAACACCATTGAGAAATACGGTGGGCAATCAGGCCAGCTGCGCGCCCGAGATGATCCCACAAAGTGAACTCAACAACGAAGCTTGTACGCAACAGAGTGTTGGTTGAAGGCCAATGGAAATGTGGAAATGACCATGCTAGAAAGGCTGGCTTGGGCTGGAACCAACCCGCAAGGTGGCCTGGACTGGAAAAACTGGAAATGCATTGCGCCAGGTATGAAGCAGGGGAAAAAACTAACCAACTCATTGCACCTTCCTGGTACGATCAGGCAACGCCCAACATGCCCGAGAACGCGCTTGGGGACCATGCCACATTTCTGGCTGTCGGCCCGCAAGACGTTGAGATCCGACGTTATGAAACAATGCAACAACACCAAAAATCATGATCAGAGCCCCAGATCCCACCTTTCTGCGGTCTCGTGATCGATCTGTGATGGTCCAATGCCCGAAATCCAGGCGAAACAACGGCCAGTGAACAAACATGCAACGCGGCAATCGGGATCGAAGCGTTGACACCGCCATTCCGAAACTCGCACTGAAGTCCCGCCGATGGTGCGAGAGCGTCTTCACTCTCCAAAGCGACGCCAGAAACAAAGCATGGCTGCACGCGAAGGATCGGCGTGCTCACCTCTCCTGCCCCCCCCCTGCGCGCAAGGCCTGCGAGACATTCGCGCCCGCCAGCAGCGAAGTGGCGTACACCGCGAGACCTGACCCCAGACTGGGATGCGGATGGAGCGAGGGAGAGGGGGGGACCAGGGAGAGGGTGAAGGGGCCCAGGGACACACAAATAAATAGACACAAACAACAGGACCCCATACTTTCCTATATTTTCTGGGTTTTCGTCTTCCCCCCCGCTTCCCATATTTTCCCAAATTTTCCTGGGGGTCGACGATTAATTGTGTCTGTGTGTGTGTCTTTCCCTCCTGAGAGGGGGGGACCAGAGGGGGGGACCAGAGGGAGAGGGGGGGACCAGGCGGGGGGACCAGACCTTCGACGGTGCGCGCGGATTCCTCGGATCAGTGCGCGACCCCAAGGACCATCCTCCCTCCGTCCCTCCTCCTTCTTTTTGCGCATTTGTCCCGCATTGCATGTTGTCCAGACACGCCGGATTCCCGAGGCCACGGCCTCGCCCACCCGGTCTCGAGTAGGCCCGGACGCTGTCCGCAACGGTGGTCGCATCGCATCCCTGGCGTGCGGAGCGCGCCAGGGGCAGCGCCGGGGAGTCTGCCAGAGGGTCCTGGCGGCAGAGCGAGGAATCCGCTCGGATCTCCGAGGGTTGACGCCTTCGAGAGACTCAGGGAGGCGACGCTGAGCCAGCGGAGGCCGGAGAGGGGGAGTGCGACGAGCGGGAGGACGCGTGTGCGCTGCCACCTGTCGGATGGAATCGAGGCGCACATCAAGGTAAGGTGTGACCAGGAGGCACGGTGAAGCAAGATACCTCTGCACAGCCGAGCGGGTCGCCAGACCCGCTCAGCCTGCCGAGCTGTTCAACTGTTGGAGACCTGAAAATGGGCAGCAAGACCCAAACAGGGGGTTACCTCCACCAGAGGAAGATGATGCTAGCTTTTGGAGTAGGTGCTAATATTTTGGCCATCTGGGTAGCACAAATATTACCACCATTGCCCTCGGTGGAGGCACACCGCCGATATCGGTGTTGGTGTCGACCTCTAAACTGGGCTGCGCCATGCTCTCCGGGAGGGAAGTGTCGGGGGCGCTCAAACATGGACTAGCGATCCACTGATTTGGCGCGCGGTCGCCAAATTCATGGATCGAGGAAGGTGCCCTCCCTGAAATGCGGCCGGTGCCGCCTCGCTCGGCGGCGGAAATTCGCGATTACCCCTGGAAGTGGGGCCCGTCGCTCACCCACGCCCCCCTGATCCATGTTTGCGATCGCCTGAAAGGTGGCAGGGAGTGAAAAGATGGCGAGGGGAGCGTTAGAAACGACTCAACAAAAACTAAGCTCGCTGGAACGAATGGCAGGCCCACGCGGCGCGCGCATCCTGAGCAGGCGCTCCCCGCACGGGTGCCTGCGACGAGGCCTCGATGGGGAGGGAGCCTCTTGTGGGCCTCTCGAGAGGCAGCATGATGGCATCGCTGATGCGTGATAGGGATTGTGTGGTCGGGCCTCCTCCTGCTTGTTGCCCTCCTCCCCCGTCTCGCCCTCCTCCTTCTCCTCCTCCTCCGCCTGCCTCTCGTGCCGCTCCTCCTCCTCCTCCTCGGGCTTCCCCTGCCCCCCCCACTCCTTGGAGGTGGGACAAAAAGATACGAGAGAGCGTGATCCACCGCCGCTTTACTGTGGAAAATTGCCAACCTTTTCCTCCGGAACCCGGGGGCCCCCCCCCCCCCCCCCTCCGAAAATCCCCCCCCCCCCTGCTGGAACCCCTCCCCCCCCCCCCCCCCCCCCCCCTCCCCCGGCAAAACCCCCCCCCCCCTAACCCCTCCCCCCCCCCCCCCCCCCTCCCCCTCGAAAACCGAGGGGGGTCACTAACCGGTTCGAACCCCTTCCCCCCCCCCCCCCCCCCCCCCCCCCCTTCGGATCCGAAAACCGGGGGGGTCACTACCGTTTGAACCCCCCCCCCCCCCCCCCCCCCCCCCCCCCCCCCCTCCCCCCTACTCACCGCCAGCAAACGACTCCCGGTCCCCACCACCGTCCGCATCACATCCCCCACTGGTGTTCCCAGCACCACTGTCCTCACCACCGCTGTCCCCACTGGTTCCACCACCGCCCCTACTGTCCCCACCAGTGGCCCCACCACTGTCGCACTGTCCCCGCTGTCCCCAGAACTGTTCCCACCACGGTTCCACTCTCCCCACTGTCTCCACGGCCCCAACCACTGCCCGACTATCCCCACTGTCCCCACTGTCCCACTGACTCCTCCGCTGTCCCACTGAGCTGTCCCACTGTTCCCACCACTGTCCCCACTGTCCCCACCACTGTCCCCACTGTACCTCTGTCCCATTGTCCCACCGCCGTCCTCGCCACCGCCTTCACCACTGTCCCCACCACCATTGTACCCTCCACTGTCCCACTGTTTCCACCTCATTCCCATTGTCCCCACACCACTGTCCCCACCACCACCGTCACCACCACTGTCCACTGTCCCCCCCTGTTCCCACCATTGTCCCCACCACTGTCCCCACCACTACCGTCCCCACCACTGTCCCACTGTCCCACTGTCCCCACCACTGTCCCGCTATCCCCTCACCACTGTCCCCACCAACACCGTCCCCACCACTGTCCGCACCCCCACTCGGTTTTCGAGGGGGGGGGGGTTCGAACCGGTAGTGACCCCCCCCGGTTTTCCGGATCCGGAGGGGGGGGGGGGGGGGGGAGGGGTTCGAACCGGTAGTGACCCCCCCCCCCTTTTCATGATGAGCAGGGGGGGGGGGGGGGGGGGGGGGGGTTCGAACCGGTAGTGACCCCCCCCGGTTTTCCGGAGGGGGGGGGGGGGGGGGGGAGGGGTTCGAACCGGTAGTGACCCCCCCCGGTTTTCCGCCAGCAGCGGTAGAACACGCTCTTTCAAAGATACCGATACCACTACTCCCCAGACCTTTCCCAGGGGGTGCGGTCTGATCAAAACTCCGAAGCGAATCCAGCCGCGGCGACGAGGGCTTTCCAGGACGAGCAGCGGTATTTGTACCTTTCCTCCTCTAACGCAGTCTACTGTCTTCTTCGTACTGTTATCATTATTCCTCCTCCTCCTCCTCCTCCTCCTCCTTTCCTCCTCCTCCTCCTCCTCCTCCTCCTCCTCCTCTCCTCCTCCTCGTCGTCCTCCTCCTCCTCCTCCTCCTCCTCCTCCTCCTCCTCCTCCTCCTCCTCCTCCTCCTCTTAGGCGGCACATCCTCTCTGCCCGCGGCCCGGCCGAACCGTCGGCGTCTGCGCTGGCGTCGGGGCTCCTGCGTCGGCGCGCGCGGGAGGCCCGACGGAGGCGGCAGCGCAGGGCGGGGGAAGCGGGGCCCAGGGAGGACGAGAAGGCAGGGGAGGAGGACGAGGAGGCGGGATGGGGGAGGGGATCCCTGGAGGAGGAAGAGGAGAAGGAGGAGGAGGAGGAGGAAGAGGAAAAGGAGGATCAGGAGGGCGAGGGGCAAAAGGAGGGCTTACCCGTCGGCCGGAAGAAACAAGTAGAAACATTAAGTTGGCAGGCGTCGGTGGTAGATTGGGCTTCCGTCCGCCCAAGGAAGAGGAGGGACAAAGGGAAACCTACCGATTCTTGAAAAAAGGAAGGCGGTTGAAATAGATTTGGACTTGGGCGGGCGACAGTCCTTTCAGGTTGAAGGCCCAGCGCGTGGGGATACACCGCTTGCTTGGGAAATAACCCCAGTGCATATGGAAGGTCAAGGGCCGGATCCATCGTAATTTGGTCATTCGGGTCGTTGTGCTCGCAATGCCGCGGTCGGGTGGCGGATCTGTTCTTGCCCAGCTTGATTGTTGCTGCTTTGCTCGTCCAAGCTGTGCTGGAATCCCACCCGCCCTCTGGGCGTGAGTGCCTTAGGGCGCTTCTTCTTCCAACCCCCTTTTTCTCCTTCGAAGAAGGGTTCACCCCTCCCCCAAACCCCTCTCCCTAAGTCTGGAGGGGAAGGGTCGCGAAGTTTCAAGTGAGGTGGTAGGCTTCACCATGTACGCCTTTGACGTAGTATTCGATTTGGCCAGTCGTATCGCGATAGCGATAGGGCAGGAGAAAAGAAATGTCCGCGCAAGCTGCGGGACATATGCTCTCGTCTGGCCAACCCTGTCTGGAGTATGTCGCTTCAAAGCAAGCTTGAAATATTGCATCCCGTCCATGACGTCTAGCATCATATCTCGATCAATGCTCTCCTTGGTGTGACTAGCGGTCATGTCGCGGGTGTCGTACCACTGCGCGGCATGCGTGATACCGCACTCCATCATCTGTCGTATCCAACTGATGTGGCCCAGGTTAATTCAGTCGGCTGGTTAAGGTCTTTGCTTGACAAAGACTTCAAGGCACAGTCCGCGCCAGTGGTCAGGCTTGACCTTGATCCTGAGGCCGCCCATCTCAATTATACTCTTCAAGTGGGTGGGTGATAGCGGCCCTGCGTGTGGTCCGTGTAGCGCGACGATCGTGGGATAGCAGTCATCCCAGTTGTGGGCTGCTGCTAGCGTGCAGCCGAATAGCTGGGGCGGACCTGCAAGCGGTGAGACTCGCAGTACGCGTCGGCACGATGGACGACAGGCTTGCCAGCATTGTTGTGTCCACGCAGTAGCAGGTTTGCCCCGCGAATATCATGGCCTTCGACCTCCTCATCGGCATCGCCGCGCGGGCATCGATAGCCGGAGTCGCTGTGCAGGTTTACCTCGCCAGTAAGCGTCACCACTCTATGAACGATCCCATCTGGGCAGGCCTGCAACTTCCTGGTAATCGCGCTGAGTCGTCGCACTTGCAGATTGGTCGGTTCCTTGACGCGCTGCAAGGATGCAACATGCACCATTCTGCATGCATGTGCAAGTAGGGCGCGAGCCAACGCGCCTCTGTGGCTCACAAAAACTAGTAGCCAGATGTGATGCCATCGCCTCAGCATCTGCGCCCGTGAGTTCGCGGTGCTGGATGGGGCGGAGCTGTTTTAGATTTACGTCTTGTTCAAGAGTAAGGTTACCGTCGTCATCCCTAGCATACCTCGCAGCGCAATTATTTGCACGTGCGTTCGTTGACTATGCATTGCCCAAATGCATCTTCATAAACTTTGCGCACTTATAATGTATGTCTTGGTGCCAGCCATGCTTATATCATCGACGTGTCTGGCGGCGCGCAAGTGGTGCTCGTCTCAAACTCCTCATCGTAAGACGCGGGTCTGAGTCCAAAGCCACTCGTAGGTCTTCCTGAGTTTCTGCGTAGAGGCTCTTAGCGCATCTTCGGTGCCCGTGCCTGGCGAGAGGCACAGTAGACAATGCATTGACTCATCGTAGTGCTCGAATCCCGGGAGCGATGTGAATGCAGATGCTGACCCAGGCGGCAGTGCAGAGCACGCCGCGCGCTCCTTGTCGCCAGTTTCTTCAGCGAGCTCGCGATATGTGAGCCCCTTCAAGAAGGCCAAGCAGATGTTAAGGGAAGCAGAGATCCAGAGCTTCCCTTGAGCTGCCGCGCAAGCGAGTAATCGCCGGCTTGACCGCTGCGCCGCCCCTGAGAACGTGTCGACGTTAAAGGCTTCGATGCCCGTGCAACCTCGAAGTACCGGGCGCAGCCTGATGGCACGTTCCACGTCGCCCTTTTCGTTCTTAATGAATTTCCCGAAACCAGGATGCCTGTTGCTTTGGACATGGCATCTTGAAACTCTTGCTGTCAAACGACGGCCGTCCTCCTTGACGACCGCAGCTCGTCTAGCTGCAGCGGGCGCACATACTCGCAACATGGCAGCGCGGTCGACGCCCAATATCCTGCGCTGTTGCTCGAGTAAAACTACTTTCGACATCTCCGCCGTTACGCGGGGCACCACATAGCGCCCGCGCTCGAAGTCTAATCCATAACTGTCATCGTCGTCCGCGGAGCACAGCGGGACATGATCTGCCTTTGCTCTGTTAATACATTGTGGGTTACCCCGTGTAGACAGTGCCCTTGCTGTTCGTCAGAAACTGTTAACAGCGCGCGGCTGTCAATAATCATATGTGAGGGTACGGTATAGAATTCTTCTACTGGGGTTGCTTCCAGTAGTTCCCTGTCGTCATGCAAATCTGTATACCACACCTCCATATTATGCGACTCGTGGTCCGCCTCTAACTCCCCTTGAATGAGGGGAGCCGGCCATTATCCTGTGCTTGTTCGGCTTCTGGGGCCTCTCTGGCATTGCTGCCTTGCGTTGGCATGTCTGCCAATTCTTCGAACTTTGTCACGTCCTGATCGAAGCCCGCATGTGGTTCTGTGGACTTCAGACATTGACTGATTCTCGAGTGTGCGGGCACACTAAAATCTTTGATCTTGAGAGCAGTGCCTTCAGCTTCGTAGCAATGAAAAACTGGGTTCGCGTCGTTGTCACAGTGCGCCAGCGCGCAGCTGTCAGCATACGTTACCAGATGTAACTCGTGGATGCTCTTGGGTAACCCAAAAGAAACAACATCATCGATGCGTAAGACGTATACATCAATATTTATATATATATATGTATATATATATATATTCAGATACTGGAGAGCGAATTGTACCTTCGGAGATAATCGACTCGCCCTTGTCATCTGGAGCCTTCTCTGTTTTGTCGGGAGATAGCGGGAGACCATGGCAAGTTTCTCCGCTGGCAGACTCGCGACGAAGGCCATGGCAATCCGCAGTGCCAATTTCTCGAGTGATCAACGCTTCAATTGAGAGCGTGCGTCTAGCATCTCCGCGTTGTACTTGCGCGCCACGGTTCCCAAGCCGCGCGGTAACTTGACCCCTTCCGGGATCGTTTCGCACGACTGGGAATGGTTCATTCCAGCCACCCCAGTCGTCTTTCGCGGTTGTGGGTCGATGGTAGTCAACTAAATCACCTTGGTTGTAAAAACTATAACCAGCGATGGTCGTCTTAGTTCGTAGTTCACGGCTCGTCTTTGCTATTGCTGTGGCCTGTGTGATAGCTTCGAAGCTTACGCGCCGGATAGTCTGTTCTCTGTTGCGAACGGAAGTCTCCGTCTGTTGTTCATGGTCTAGAGCAGGCAGCTAGGGGAGCAAAGCTGGCTGTCGGCCAAACAGCGCGTTGTGCGGAGATGCTGTGTCGCACAGAATAAACGCACCGCTGGCAAACATAACTTCGTGCAATAGTCGGGCGAACACGAGAGGCATGTCAAACCTATTGAGTTCAGCCCCCATGACTTGAAGCGGGTTTTGGCAATATGCCGCTGCTGGCATCAATGGCGGTAGCATGTGGTCCACGCGCGCGAATTCTCAGCTCGGCGCCCATTGCATGAAAGACCGCCGTCGCGGCGTCGTTGCTGAGAGCGCGTTCTCCGCCGGAGTGCTGTATGTTGGCAGGCCCAAAGTGCATCAAGCACTGATAGTACGCATTTAGGATGCCAGTCAGAGTTGTGTCTCGTGTTTCCAAGTCAGCGCCTCATCGAATGCAGCCGTGATATATACGGAATGCCTCATGTTCCTGGTTGTAGAACATTAAACCGACTTGTGCTTCATCATTGAGTTTGCCAGGTCATGAGGTGGATGACATTACTGTCTGCGCAGGCTTGTCCCAGGCTCTACACTCGGCATGCGTCGCAGACGCCTTCCATTAGATTCAGCCGCACACTGTCAAGGCCAGCCTTGGGCGCCGACCCCCCCCCCCCCCCCTGAATCTGGAGAGGGCCCAAAGCGCTCAACCATGAGCAGGCGAAATCTGCAGATTTGTGACATGCGTTGGTTGCGGCGCTGAATGTCTCGTCGTCTCGGGTCCCTCTGGGGGCCGCATCAAATCCACAGATTGCACTTTTCTGTCGATTCGGGACGTGTGCCCGACGCGCTGAAAATCTACAGATTGCAAATTACGCTGTGCACGTGAAACGGGGCCACGGGATCCGAATCGCCAGGGGGCGGCTATCATCCACTCATTGAAGGACATGCTGCGAATCCACGGAGGAGTCCCAATCTACAGGTTTTCAGAAGATCTGTGGATTTACGACACGCACACGACGCAGGCAGGCCTGATGCGCAGAATTTCAGAATCTGCGGTCGGGGCCTGAGGGGAAGCGAATGACGAGGACGCCCACAACGCGCAGCATGGCACAACCTGCGTCCACGATGGCGCTGCTTGCGTGGTTCTCCAGAATGGCAAGATTTCAAGCCCCCACTGGCATCCAAGACCAGCCGTGGTTAAGATGAGTATCATCTTAAGCTCCTTAGCGTGGAGCCATCGTAGATGTAGTTTCCGTAGCTCGTGCTGGGAACTGATTTGCACATCGAATCGCGACCAGTCTGGCAATCTTG